TCAGGGAAAATTCAGAGAAAACCGAGTGCTGTATTGATCGACTAGAGTCTAGTCTAGTCACTAGACTGACTAGCTGACTGAACAAATATATAATATATCCAAATGTTTATTTTTTAGGACAGTTCATCTGTTTTACTCACTTATTGTAATCAGTATTTTCATTCACTGGATGTCCGGGTAGAGAATTTCATTAAGAACTTGAAGCTTAGCAAAAATTCATAGTATAATGGACATACATTTCATGAAATAGCCAAATTATAAACTTAATGTGATTTTTTTTTAAGACAAATTATAAGTTATTTAAATTACCTATCATACAGAAATTYATCAAACTGAACATTTTGATAAATGTACATTTTTTGTATAGAAGTTTCACTGTATTTTATTTTATTTTTAATAAATGTATTCTTTATAAATCAGATAACTTGTTATAAATTATTTTAAATAAAATACATGTTTTATTACATGGACATTTATTTATCTTTATTGACTATATGAACGTGATGAAATATAAGCACAAACTATAAATATTACTGCCTAAGTAATAAACAATGTTATGTATATTTTTATCTTATTATTTACTTTATCATAGCAGTTGATTGTAATACCAATTATAGCAATATTATATGTTATTTTAAAATCTTACTTATGTAAAGGGAAATTTCTTGTTAATTAAGAAAATTTGAATGTTTTAAAAATGATTATATGTTACCTGATTGATAGTCCATGTCATAATCAATTTTCATGTAAAAATAAACAACAAGATATATAAATGTATGAAAAATGTTTACATAATACAATTGTTTATTACTCAATAATTTCTGGTGTTTATATAGTTGACACAAGCAAAATTAATAAGTTTTATATTATGATGAATATTAGAATACRGTATACAGATTTTAAACATATTTTAATTATCAAAACAAACACTATATTTTTAAATAATGCACTAATAAACAAATAMTAATATTATAATAACATTAATAAACTTTTGCCATATTCAAATACTTATTTTATATCATATTTATTCATATAAATTTGAACAATTTTGACTTTACTTTTTTTTTTTAGGTGTTGAATAAGATATAATTATAGTGATATTCTGTTGCTCACATCCATAAATACAATAAAATTCACTAAAAAAAGTTAATATTGTTTGTTGATTAGTTATATACAAAGTATAGAGATGGTCAGATGGTATATTAAATAAAATATTTATGGACTTAATATTTACTGGTATTATATTAATTATAAACAAACAGATATATTTTAATGAGAATATTATTTTAGTATTCATACATTTTTAAGTACAACAGAAAAACCATTTTATTTTATCTACTAAGTGTTGACTCATCATATATCTTACAATTACGTAAAGTAGCATATTGATGGGGGGATTTTCTCGGGTAGTAATTTCTTTGGGGGTATCAAATGTACACTTGTGCTTTAAGTTTTTTCATGAGTAAGAAAAATGCTAATATAAAAAAAACTGGCGATAGGAAGAGTTCATTAAAAAAGTGTATACTAAGGGTAGGAAAATCCTAAATATTTCACTGGTTATGTCATAGTTAACCTTTATTTTTTAGAACAGAAAGTAGATACCATTATACAGAAGACTTCAATAAAAAAATAACTTTTAAGTTAAAATCTTTAATGTCTACTAGCTGTTGTATACCAAGCATTGTACTATTAAATAAAATAAAATAAAATCCATTCTTTTATTTAAAAATTATATTGTCTAATAATTATTATTTACTGATATTAACTCAAAAGTAATTAGCAGACAGAATGTAAAAATGTATTTTAGTCAAATATTATACTTTTGTTTGAATATTATCATTTGTTAATATTTATATTAAACATATAAATAAGTATTTTTGAAAAACATTATTTTATAAGTATTTAATGATTTAGCCTGAATTGAACTGGCATTTATTTTTTATAAGCCAACAATAGTTACTGATATTTATAAAATAAATAGGTAACTAATTTAATTTAAAAATGCATGACAAAAATATGCTTTAATTGCCATTTTGCCAACCTAATATAAAAGTTTAGTTATTAAAACAAAATTGTAAATATATATGTTTATGATACTTTTTAATCAAATTTTAGGCAATAATTATGTTAAATTGAAAAATACTTGGTAAGTAGAATATAAATATAACCTAATATTAAGCAAACAAATTATGATTTATTTAAAAAACAATTATATAATAAGAATGCTTATTTAAAAACTTAATTTTTTAGTAACTGTAATAAAAAGTTATTGAACTTTATGTTAGTAACTAATAAGAGYTATATAATATCAAAATGGCCTATGTATTAATATTTTATGTAATTTATTATAAGCATAATTCAATATGGAAAATTGTTATTCAGCAGGAAAATGAAATAATTCAWATAGTACTTAGTTTAACAATAATTATTTAATTTGTATATTCTACATTAGTTGAACATGAATTTACAGAATAAGAATTTCATTAGTATACGATAAAAGTGATGGTAATAGGAAAGTTTTAAGAAAACAAAATAAATAAATAATGCGATCTATATTAGTTTTATGACTGAGAAGGTTGTTGAGCTGTATTTTCAACTTCAAGTTGACGTAATCTTCCAGATTTACAAGCTAATTGAGCAGCTAACTCTCGATTCGCATAAGCATAATACTCTAATAAATCTAGTAAGCAACGACTATCCTGTTGTTCTGAACTGTAAGAATAAAATCAGTATTCAAATATTTAGTGTTTAAGTTAAATAAGTTTGTAGCTTTATTTTGTAATAAATGAATTACTTTGGAATTTCTTCAGAATTTAGCTGTTGACTAGTTGTAATATCATTATTCTGTAACACTTGAGGTGTCCATCGATCACAGTAATTATTTTCTTCCCAACCACATACATCGGGCGGGGGCTTTTCTTGGCTAAATTTTCTTATTGAATCTAAAATTTAAATTATGAAATATAAATATTTAATTCATTTATTTACCAACTAGGCATTAAAAATAATTATCAATTGAAAACACAATATTTAAACTTACTTGCATACAATAATGACGATATAGTAACACACACAAACTCAATAACAAGTAATACAGCAATTCCATTTTTTGGTGACATCAACATATTAGCATCACAGTATGGCTGCATATCGGCTGCATCTTCTTGAGCATATACAGCTATAAATATAGCCAATAATACAGTCCCTGTAACATAAATTAATAATTAAATGGTCTTTTTTAGTTTCCTAAATTTCAAATAAACAAGTTTCTTATACATAAAGATACTAATTGAAATGGTATCACTGCCAGGCGAGTGAGTTTAGCATAAGCACGTAAGTGTCCACGAGATCTTAATGTTTTATGATGCATGTGTCRGGCAACATGGTCCAGTACCTATGAATAATAAACCAAAATAAACATAGTGTAACTAATCAAAATTGGTCAATTTATAACATGTAACTTACCAAAAATAAGAACCATACACAGCAATGAGCATAAACCAGAACATATAATGGTTCACATTTATCTTTAGGAGGTATATCTGTTACTGAAGAAGTTTTTAGTGTAGTAGTTCCATGTTGTTCTATAGGAATTAAACGCCATACAATATCATCCATTTCTTTTTTGTTTATATTTTTTTCAAAAATTAAAACATTGGATTCTAAATAGACAGCAAATAAAACCAAAATCGCCTAAAAAAAATAACTTGTAATTTGTAAACCTTGGTTATTTGTACTTAATAAAGGTTATTTAGGTTACATAGATATTAATATTAAACTCAAGATAATTTAGATTTTTCAATTTAAAATA